TACCTTCATCATTTAAATGAACTTTATCTGACAACAAAGCTTTCGTGTTTTTCCACAGGCCCCGGTGTTTCCAAAAAGTAATATTTGTACGTGATTTCAAAGTTGAAGACAGTACCTGATTCACTTTGTTTACTTTGTTGTTATAATCGGGACCCGACCTTTCGGAATACCTCGGCAGTAATTGCCCAACATTCACGTGACTAACACCATACGCTGTAATTATGTAATCACAGAAGGACGCAATATCTCGAGCAAATTTCTCAGGTATTTGAATAAATACAGAATCTGGTTTAAAAGTGTAAAAAACGTGCATAAATTCTGCTTTCTGAATGCTTTTACGACCCGGACGCAATGTACCTCCACCGTAACCTGCAAATTCAACCTGAATTTCTGTACCATCGAATCCTAAATTGTATCGCCCTTCTGCACGATTCTCGTACAAAAATGATTCTAATCTATATACAAATGAATGACCAAATATCAAAACTCGATGAACCATAATATACAAATTTAAGAATTTACAATATAAATATAATACGAATATTTTGAATATAAAACGAATATTTTGAATTAAATAATATTTTAGATGGCTTTTACCTTCTGAACAAGTTCTGTGTAATCGTAACTACGTCTTTTCTGTACTAAATCGTCAGTTATCTTCTGTCCAAAGCCTCTGTCAGGAACAAACTTGAAAATTGAAAATCTTTACTTTTCTTGCAAAACAAAAATAGCGTCTAGTAGCATTCAGTGCAATTGCGATAATGCGGGCGCAACCAGACGCTTGTTAAAAGTTAGCATGCACTTTATCCTCATTGGTCAATTAAAATATTTGTGGCCAATGATAATTAGTATTGACCCTGATCATGCCATGACCATGGTGACCTTGACTGCCTGTAATCAAAAACTTGCATAATTCCTAGACAAAGACCATGGAAATTTTCGGTTTCTTATTACAACATTGATAACAAATAAACCCTATACAAGTTGAAACAGTAGCCTATATAGCTAAAAATTAGTGTATAAAAATTTACTGCCAAAAATGTTTTTATTACCATAAAACTGATTTTATGTTAATCAAATAAGTGTCTATCCAATTTTTAAAACATATAATTTTGTAATCAAATTTAATGTATTTATTTCCTCAAATAATTTGTTTTCTAATATCGTAAAAGGTTTTTGGTTCATCTGTCTGTCCTCCCATGCTTTCATCCAGCTTTTTAATACATTTAACTGAAATTTTGGAACATTTGGTTAATATTGATCAACTTTGTTATAATTCATATTCATATAGAATGCTAGGCAATTTCTTCCTAAGCCTTGGACATATTTTAAAGATATAAGTTGTCATCCATTTGTCAAAGATATGTTTCCTTAATTTTTTTTTATTTTCTTTTCATGACTCTTTTCAAGAGTAGATATATTATAAGAGCCATTATTTGTCCCCTAAAATAACAAAAATAGTAAAATTATTCAAGACGTCGAAAGTATGATAATTCTACTGTTTAAGGCCCTTGATGCTCAGGGTGATATAATCCAGATCACTTTAGTTGCAATAGAGTCACTAATGAGGTCATTAACCTGTCAAGACTGATCAAGAATGGCCATTTACCATTAGTTTTGGATAAAAAACATATGATCCAAGGCTTTTCCTACAAAGATATTTTCCACAAATTAACATCTTTTTAGAAAACTTTCTGTTGCCAAAATATTTAGGGTAAAGCCTCGACTTATATCTAAATATTGATGACAGGTTCTGGAAATGATGGTTTTAACACTAGATTCAAGAATGCGGATGCCTTGATATATATATGTTAAACAAAATTCAAAACTATAGATAAACAAATGTCTAAATATCTTCTAGAGGGTATTATTTTGTAGATTAATAATACATTTGATTTTCGGGTTTTATCGTACCTTCTCCTTTAGTCCATGTACAGTTCATTCGAGAACAAAAACGATAAATAGTGAACAATAGTTTACCGATGTTCAAATCTCAATATTCGATTTCGAATTCAAAAACAAGGTATCATACATAAAACTGAGGAAAGCCAATGAACTCCAAATTAGGTCGACAGGGTAGGCGTCTGGTACTATGCATGCATCAACCGCCAAGCGAATCCACACTCAGTCAAAATGTCACGATCAGGAACAGGACAGTGAGTTGGGACAGAGATATATCGCTTTGCTCAAATAATTCGTGATTGGGATCGTAAACCTTATGTAGTGCCGACTTCAAACGGTCTTCCTCGGTCTGTTTTAGCTGTTTTTGTGTGAGAAGAATTCCCCTGATAATTAATTCCGTATAAATAAAGGCAACAGTAGGATACCGCTGTTCAATAGTCATAATTCGATTAAGCGAAAACAAATCCGGGTAACAAACTAAAACCGAGGAAAACACATCAACTATAAAAGATCATAAGTGGAAAACAACGGAACAACAGAAACACTGAACTGCAACAAAAGCAAAAGCCAAATGTTATAACATTATCGAGCACCAGCGTAACGTTTCAATTTAGATGGAGAAGATGGTAAGTAAATGTTTAGAAAGGGGATATTGATAACTGGAAAGTTGAATTTATGAAGTCGTTCATTTGTGTCAATATCGATGAAAATATGACGATACGAGGCATACCTTCTAGTTTCGGTAATTTACCTAATCTCAGGTTCACTGGGATATATGAGATACAAGCACTCACTGACATATGGGTTATTTAGTGAAAAGACGTCATCAATATATCTGAAATTGAAATAAAACAACTTTGCAAGATGTTTCTTTTTTTTTGTCCCTTTGAAGTTTTAGTATGTATCATCTTCTGCGTATTTTTTTTTTTCCTTTTCTTTTTTTGGAATTAGTGCGGTTTCACAAAGTAAGATGTTTCATTGACTTAAACAAGAAAATTGTATCTACTATTTACTGGTTGTAAGAACTTTAGAAAGATGGCTGTATATCCTTTTTCACAAGGATTGTTTTAACTTTAGGTATGCAGTATAAAGGCGGGAGTTTTTCAATATCCTCTATTATGTTAATACAAAAATGAGAAGGACGGATTTGTGATTTTTATAAATCTCCCTTTTCGTCAACTATGTAGGGGTAAATGTGGGATTCTCAGTTTGGATGTGAATTCCGAGTTCTTTACTCAGACATTCAAAATACTAATTTTTGCAAATATAAACAATATTGATAGAGGTTTTGTCTGCTGGAACAACTTCACATTTGTCGTAAAAAAGGATAAAGCATCCACAACCCCTGACTTCTTAAAATGGTAAGAAATCATGTGTGCTCATGGATGTCGAAGAGTTTGAATGCGCTTCCGAATGCAAGACCAAATTTGGCCATTCCGATGGCGTGTCCAGTTTTATTTCATCTTGCTCGCGCTTTTCCCATTTTCTGGCATAGTCCTCAACTGAATCCATCAGTAGCTTGTTCTTCTTCCAGTAGAAATGCCTCGGAACTCGATGTTTAGGGCCTTTGGCTAACAACAATTCAATTGAGAAAACTAATGGCCTAATTTATAACAAAACAATTAACGAAAACAAATATGACAGACATGAACCAACGAAAACCACTGAACTACAGGCTCCTGATTAGAGACAAGCACATAAAGAATGTGGCGGTGTTAAACATGTTTTTGAGCGCTCATCCCCCCTAACTTGGGATATTGGTGTAACAGCACAACATAAGAACAAACTAATGAAGTCTTAAATAAAGGCTTAACTCATCAGATCGATACAAATAAGAAAAAACGTGAAACAAAAACATAGACCGGACGTGGCAGGCTATTTGTCCATCCCTCATCCCATCCTTAACAACAAAAAAAGACACTAAGTACAGATCTGAGAGTACTCGCAGTTACTGGCACTAGTTCAAAGCCAATAACAACTAATAAAAAATCATGAATCTAAGACTAATACCTGTTTGAGGACGATGAACAATAGCAATCTGGCGGCTTGCATTTTACATCCGTTAAGGTAATTATTCATCCATGATAATTTATGCAATAAAAGCCATATAGATTAAATTGAGGTACCAAGTGTACTTAGAAAGAATATATGCAACAGATAAGCACATGTTATTTTGCAAAATATTTATGTGAAAATAGAATCTGGTGAAAAAAATGACAGCCGTCCTTCAATAGTCTTTCACAATTATAAAATCCCGACTATGTTAAGTAGATGAGGAGGTATAAAAAGAGCCATTAGTTGACCCTGAAAATAAAACAGAAATAGTATACTTTGTCTTTCCTTTCAAAATTATGTTTTTCTACATAAATAGGTTATACATGTACAAACTAGACACTTCAATTCTGAAAAGACAATTGTGATTTCACTATAAACGTTTTAAACATTTTAAATGAATGACTGATTAATCGATGATGAATAATTGATTGAATGTATATTAGCCAAAACGGCCGTTTTACATATAGGTTTTGTTCAAATTCGTTATGAGCCAAGCTATTTTTCAAATATATAGTTTACCCCCACTTACATCTTTGTAGCAAAATATTTTTTCTTTAAAGCATAGGTTCATAAGTATGGATTGATAACAAGATCTCAGATTGGGGATATTTTGGCCAATTTTGCAGTTTTGCGTGAAATGTAAATAGTCAAAAGCTCTGGATCAAGTAAGTATGGCAAAACTGAAAAATATTAATATCACTATTAGACAGACGTATGTCCTGTGAAAATCTGAGTGCTGTTGTTTGATATGTTAATAATACTTTTTTTGTTTTTCGAATTACAGAGGTAGAAAATGACATGATCATTTTTCTACGTTCTATCACAACTCACCTGATATATTCAGTATTTAGATATATACAAATATCATCGTGCAATATCTATTTTTTCAAAATGATGTTGTGAAGATACATCATACCTGCTCCTATGTTTTCGATGGTTAATCGGTTAACCAAGTTACAATTGTTAATAAGAATGTTGAAAATAAACGCAGATGTACAATTTTTTCCATGAGTGATTTTATTTTGCATTTTCAATTTTTTAATAAACAATTTAGAATAAGGAATAAAACACGCCTTGCAAACAATGACAGAAAAGGTAAAGTAAATTTAATCACATTTCTATGGTTCAATGACACAATAAATCAAATAAATATAAATTTAAAAAAAATGTAGAGCCAACTAGAACCATGCATACGTTCTTTTTCAAATAGCGCTATTGCTGAAATTCTTTTCTTTAATCGCACACGAATATGTTACAATACACCTAGATTTATTAAAACAGTTTTTAAACACGCCTTTGTGCTAAAGGTTGCTTACCATAGCACAATTAAATAACTATTATGGATCCTGACATATTGAATGCGTTTTTACTGCTATATATATGGCTACGGAAAGTGCTATTAAACAGTAAACAAAAGTGTTTTGTTTACATGATGTAAAGACAGGCCCTTATTGAAGAAACCTTAGTCAGTTGATAAAAAGGTACTCGAAATAAGTAAGCTATGAACAATGCAATAATATTCCTTACACGGTAAATTGGACATAGTGGTACAAATAAGATTGAAAACGAAAATAACGATGTATTATCTCTCATTTATGTTCTAGTGTATAGAGTATAAGTAACCATTAAGCATTTAAATTAATTATATATGTGTGTAAACATTTTTTGTAGACGAAGCAGTTAAAATATTTAGCTCAATGTGAGTATAATCTTATTCTTGTGTACGTACATAGTTTTGAAAGATTATGAGTTTAACTGAAATGAGAGAGATACTAAGTTGGAAATCCAAAAGCATTTATCGAAGAAAAACATCCTTACAAACAATCCTTTTGAAGTTACGGATAAGTTTGACTTGATCAGAATTTATTTTAAACAGTTTTCCTTGGTTCCTAATGTTAAAGTTGAAGTTATTCTTTCGATAATTTTATAGAGTTCATCCTGATATGATTGGCCGTTATTAAATATCTGTGTCATAAATGACAACGAATAAGTTCGAATTGTCGTAGCCATAACACCGTCCTTTTTTTCGTTTGTGAATTAAATATTAAAATGTTTCAATACACAAATTGCAAGCAATTTTTGTCTTAATGCTCAAACAACAATTTATCCTAAACAGACCCCGATGAAATTTGTAGGTTGGAAGTTACTTTAGACACGAACGGTTGTTACACAGTACATGATTTATTGTGGTATCAAGATTGTTTCGTAAAGAATGTTAATATTAACCATCCACTCACTTCAATATAATTTTATTTTATACGTCTATAGATATATATTTATATATGTCATAATTTTATGATAGCCTTTCTCTATTTGATAAACTAGGGTTATACAGAGCAGACATCATAACTACATAAGTTTGGTCTGTAATTTAGTCCAATATTAGTTCTGTAGAAAATTTTGTATTTCACTTAGCGAGACTTGAACTATGATATATTGTCGCATAAAGTTTGTCAACCTTGCAGATCATTATTTTTTGTTAAGGTCGTAAATGATTGTAATACTCTTTGGTTAAAATACAATTAATAACATCAATCTATATCAAATAGTACATTATAAACAAATAGGGTCCAGAAACAAGCAACATCGATTTTGCTAATCTGTCTCCAATAAAACTTATCGCTATTTATTTCAATTCCGCTAAGTTCTGAATCTACACAACATTTTCGTGACGTCCAAATCCAGTTGAATTTATCAGGGGCCCTGTTTAAACATTGTATTGTGTATACAACTTTTCAAAGCGACATGTTTAAACCATCGTAGACTCTTCAAACAAAATATTTAACAGTCAAAATGTTCCCTCCCTCAGGTGTTAACTGATGACCTTTGTTGTTTTTGCGACACTTGACACAGACAGAAATAGGAGTTGTCTAAATAACTGGGTTTTTTTTCTGATTTGACTGAATAGCGAGAAGATGTATACTTTGAAGCAGTCACATCGATTTTATTCTTTAACATAATTTAAAAAAATTGCTGTTACAAATCTTTGGCCTTGCAGCTGCGGGATTTGAATCCATTGTTTTATGACAGACTAGCAGCATCGCCTACACTGTCAGCACCTTACATCATTCGGCAAAATATCCTTTCGTTAGCGTCATCTATGAATGTAACACAATTCAAGATGTATTGTGGCATGTTGATGAATTACCTTGCGTATCAAAACTGTGGTTGTCTTTGAAACGGGTTTAATACTTGCCATACATTCCCATCAGTACAAATGTATCTTTATTCTCAACAAATGTCCTCCATATAGAGTTATACAGGACTACCACCATTCTTTAAATTTACTTCATCTTGAATTGAGCTAAATAATTTCAGATCAAGGAGAGAAGAGTATATGATAAAGCCACCTCTTATGTCAAAATTTCCATAATAAACAACTTTTCTCAATCTTTATATAACTATATAGAGTTATTTCCTTTAAGAACAATACGTCATGTTTTGAAGAAACAACCCCGACGAAACCAAGTTTTAATGACCTGTTTGCAATAAAAATAAGAAGATATGGTATGATTGCCAATGAGACAACTCTCCACAAGAGACCAAATGACACAGAAATTAACAACTATAGGTCACCGTACGGCATTCAACAATGAGTAAAACCCATACCACATAGTCAGCTATAAAAGGCCCCGAAACGACAAATGTTAAGCAATTCAAACGAGAAAACTAACGGCCTGATTTATGTACAAAATAATGAACGAAAAACAAATATGATATACAGCAACAGACGACAACCACTGTATTACAGGCTCCCGACTTGGAACAGGGACGTACAGAATGTGGAGGGTTAGACTACTTTGCTGGCGCCAAACCCTCCCCTTACCTGGAACAGTGATGTAACGGCACAAACCAAGAATAAACTATGGTCATTATTACTCCGATTTTAAGGCAAACTACAGTTTGTGAAACATCATATAACAATAATCATGTGTTGGTGCAAATGGGGTGTTTTCTATACAATTTGCCATTTTAAATATATTCTAAAATGATTTAAGAAGATAAAAAACCTTTACTTCATTTATTAGATTTAGATACGAGTACCAATATATAATTTAGTTAATATAATAAATAACTTACCAAGTAACTTGTATTTTTCAAATTTTATTTCTTGCTTCATGCAACTACAGTAAAATTTTAATTCAACTGAACAGTGATACGTGTTCATCTTGAATAGTGAGCTTTATCTCACCTTATAATTGAAACGTTGGGCGTTGTTATAACTAAACCAATGAGACAATAATACCCCACTTTAATGTGATCGGTAAAAAGGGATACAATTTCAAGCAAATCTTTGCAACAGTTAATTCCTTTTGACGGTATATAAGTCAGATAATACATATTTAAAGTCGGTCTTTCATTTGAACAATCCTGACACCCCTCGGTGCGTTATATTACAAGAAAAACCTTAAAATATGCACCTATAACATCAAATTACATCCGTCACATGTTCATAATAAGCTCATCGTAGATACCAGGATTAAAATCGTGAACGCCAGACGCACGCTTCGTTCACCAAAGACTCACCAGTGACGCTCGAATCTAAATAGTAAAACAGGCCAAGTAAAGTACAAAGTTGCAGATCATTGAGAGACCAAAATTCCGAAAGGTTTTGCCAAATACAGCTAAAGTAATCTATTTCTGAAATGCGCAGTATTTCGAATATTCCAAGTTTTGTAAACAGTTAATTTATAATTATGACTATATCAGTGAAAATTAACGTCAACACAGAGTGCTGACTTCTGGGATGGTGATATCCTCGGGTTCATAAGATAAAAGTGTGTCAAACAAAAGTATTTATAATTTTGAACTATGTGTTAGATGTTTGTAATTGATATTGAGAAAAGCAAAAGCATTACCTTTAAATTGTCTTTTACAAAGATCATCATGCGTTTACAAATCCTTTGGTTTTTGATTTTGCTCATTATAGCGCCAATCGGAATTTGTACGAACTTTTGTTCAATGAAAATAGAACTATGTGATACTAATGCAATGTTGTATTGAAATATATTAATAATAATATCTAAATGTTGTTTTAATTAATAATAAATGCATTGTGTGTTCACACCTACTCGAATACTGCCAAAATGCTTCTCAACTGTAGGAATCAACTATTCTCGGAAAAGTTAGATTTCAAACCAACACTCGTATACTTTTTAACACACTTGTTGATAAAAAAAATCAACTACACGATGTCATTGTCCCTATTTCCGGTCAACAGGTAAAATAGATATCGAAGACGTTCAATGAATAATGAACGAAGCCTGTACAAAAAGGATATAAAATCAAAAACCAATTATTCAGAGAAAATTAAAGGTCATTCAATTCCAAAACACATATTTTGATAGAAAAAATGTTCACTTCCGGTCAAAAATGTCAATTTTGGTGTTTAAGTAACACTGATTCCAAAAATATATGGTTTCTATATACTTTGCCAAAAATGAGAAAGATAAGTAGGTACTTCCGGTTTAAAAAAATCACATCTTGTTTCCTTTGAACCTTACTTCAAAATATTTAAATAAATATAAAGTTCTAGTAATTTTTACGTGAAAATAATGCAAACAAATAGCTACTCCTGGTTTACAAAAGATCCTTTCCGGTTGACCTTCATCAAGGTCATATATATATCCAACCCAATGTGAAAGACCCTATGACTTTACCATGTACCAATAACAATTTACACCAAAATCAAAATCAAAAACGTTATACTTTGACCTTGACCTCAATTTTAAGGTAATAAAGCAATGACCTCAAATCAAAAGACCCTATGTGTCTTCTTATATGGTTAAAGAGTTATATCACAACACAGCTAATCTTAAATCTAAAAAGGGAAAAAACTCCCTCATTATGTCAGGTACCCTTTCAATCAAAAAGTATGTGTTACGACATGATGCAACTTACAATTTAGTTAAAATATTCTGTCGATATCTGATAAGGTTTCTAAGGAGAATTCAAATTAAGCCAAAATCAAAATTTAGAACATTACATTTGATCTTGACTTTATTTTCCTTTTGATGGACCAAGGACCTCAAATCAAAAACAACCAAACAGCGCAAACATTTTGGTGGAAGACATCTTTTTTTTAATTAATCAGAGAACAAAAAAAGGTCTTTCAACTCAAATGCACATATTTTGATGGGAAATTATGAACTTCCAGTTTAAAATTTCATTTCTGGTGTCAGACAAATGCTTAAATTACGCTGTTTCCAAAAATATATAACTTCTAAATACTTTTGCTTGAAATAAGTAATAAAAGTCGTTACTTGCGGTTTGAAAAATATCACTTCCGGTTTTATATGATATGTTACTTCTTACAAAAATCTAATAATACTTTTAGATATTTGGATAATATATTGGCTCTCAATAACGACGACTTCAGTATGTACACTAAAAAGATTTATCCTGTTGAACTAACTTTAAATAAAGTTAATACTAACAATGAACACTGCCCTTTCCTTATCTTGATATCTATATCATTAACGGGAAGCTTAATACAAAAATTTATGATAAAAGAGATGATTTTTCATTTCCTATTGTTAATTATCCATTTTTAGATGGTGACTTTCCCTTGTCACCATCTTATGGTGTTTATATATCTCAACTTGTACGATTCGCTCGTGTATGTAACAACGTATTAGATTTTAGCGAAATAAATCTATGTATTACTGAAAAATTATTACACCAGGGTTTTCGATATCA